CACAACTTTTCACTTCTCTTCACACCACTGGTTCTCTTTGCGGACCTGGGCTTCCTCTTCTTCAGTAAAGTCATTCTTTATATTGAGGGTCTTGCGAATCTCTTCAGGGCTTTTCCCCTTGATCATATTGGCAACAGTCTTGCATGTAACATCAAGCAAACCTTTGATGTCTAAATAGTTTGCAGCCAGAATTAGTTCAAATAGTGTTCCTTGGTCAACTTTGAGGAATTCTTGGTCCCAAGCAGGAATATCATCTGTTCGCTTTTCTTTGTTCTCACCATCGTCAGGAGGAGGAGGGTCATCCCTGTGGTGGGTGCACCACTGAATGAGCCTTTCTAACATTGCCGCATTAACATTTGGTAGAGGAACTGGGTCATCATCACCTTCATCATCCATTCCCAAATCTTCTAACATGGTCTTGATAGTCACAGATTGTTTGGCAATTTCAACATCAACTTCAAATATCTCTCCATCAGAACTCTGCAATTTAATTGAAGGCATGGTGCTCGGTCTCAAGGAGAGAGTGGGCCGGAGGCTGAGGAGAGCCGGGCAGCGTCAGCAGAACCAAAAGGGAAAAGGTGGAGAACAAGGCCACTTACCCAGGTTCTGTGTTTTATGGTCTTGTTACATCTGTATTTATACCAGGTGATTTTAATCCTATCACTTTCTATTCCAAAGGTTAGGGCGTTTCTTATCTCCATTCCAGGGAGTAAAGATGATGTAGCTTAAGGCGATTAACTACCCGCCTGGCACTTAGTTTAGGGGATTTTATTCCCTCCCTAACTTCAGGGAAAAATCCCTACCTGGGGAAACAACCTTCCTTGGAAAGGTGACCTTGGTTAAAACACATAGCGCCAAGAAGGGGAGTAAACATTTTAAGAACAATATGCCATATACGCCAGGTCCCTTGAAACATACGCTGTGCAGATGTTTCTTCCCTGCAGCGACTGTGTCAAGCAGCAAGGATGAACCGGCTTCCCGCATCTCAGTGCCTGGAGCCAGGTGCTAGTGGAGTTTTCTGGGAAGGAACTAGCACCCAGCTGTTACATGACGAGAACAGGTGCAAAGGGTTCCGTCACAGCGAGGGCAAAAACTAGGCTTCAACGAGCCCAGCATCACGCTGACCAGGCCCCGAAGGAGGGTCTGCTCAGCGCCTGGTTCTGGAGCTTGGATTCTGCTTCAGTGAGGATGATTCATCCTAATTCCTCTCTCCTCTCAGCCTACCCTGGGTCTTACTTATTTTTATCCCTGGAATGGAGTTAAATTGCCTAAAGGACGATGTTTCTTCACCTGCAAGGGCCCTCCTGGAGGATGAATTTTAAAATATTCATTTTTACAACTTGCTCCCAGCAGTAACAGGGAAGATGGAGAAGACGAGATGCTGGGGGAGGAGAGGAGGACAGTGACACGAGCCCAGCGGGCAGCCTGGGGCCTCAGGGAACTTGGAAGTGACTCTGTGGTCGGGAGATGGTCCAGGAATTGACTCTGAGGAGTGGGATAGAGGAAAAGGAATGGCCAGCTATGCTTTCGTTACTCTCTTTATGATACTGAAAAACTGAAGCAAAACCTTCAAACAGCCCGCTGTTGGTGCCTAGCC